ATTTCAATTTACCACTCTCGAAATATCGAGTAATCAAAGCTTAGAATGTGACACCGTATAAATACCAAATAGACAATTATTCGTTCAATTTAAAGCTCTATAATTTATGTAAGTAACTTTTGGAAACCATTTTTTTTTGTTGCGGTAAGAAGCGCCATTTTTATAATCAAATATGATTTTTTTCATTTTTTTTTTTCCAGATTATAAAATACTTGTAATCTTATTAAATTAACCTAAATTCATATAACCAACATTAAAGTATTCTCCATAGAGCAACACCAAAAAACATAGAGCACAATAAAATCAAATCAAATAAACTTAAAAACCTTACAAGAAATCCATATATGCACACATACATACATAAATACACTTTGATTATGGACGGAACGAGTCAGCGGCTAGACAAACTGAACAAGGGTCATAAACCTCGAGTGGAGCGCACTTGTGCGTCTTCATCAAAGAAGTTGACAATTTTCACTATGAATCACACATACAAACTCACATGTTTTTATACTAGCGCGCTTTTAAGATTTATATGTGTTTTTTTTCTTACATATTTGCTTATGCAAAATAAGCATGAAATCTCATCAAATTATAGGCTGCAAACAGAAAGTCCAAATATTGGCGCCCGGAAATAGGTACGCTTCAGTAGTTGGAGTACATACTTGTATATACAAAAAAATACATATGTATATATTATATAATATAAATACGTAGATATGAATTTTAGGCATTTGAAGATTCAAATTGTCAATTTTGTGTTGAAAAATCTCAATTAGGTGATACTGCGGTGGCTTTTTCTTATTGAAGCTGGTGCTGTGCTCTCTAATTTACAACTGATATTCCTATGTCAGCACTCTAAATGTAGGCAGCGTTGTATTGTTGGCGTGAAAAATTAATCACCTTTTGAGTTTTATGAAGGGGAATAAAAACAATAAAACAAATAAGTAAAACCAAAATTAAGTTTTCTAAGGAAACTCTCTTATTTTTTAAGGCTTCGGTGCAACAGATTTTAACTTTTTTTCTTGTTTGTGGTGTTTTAGGTTATATACGAAGTATATGTTTTATTTGATATTTAAATATAAGTAAGCTTCGATAAAAATAATTAAATAATAACTTCAAAAAATATTGTCTTCTCTCACACGTACCCATGAAAAATAGCTGTACTTACTCTTACATAATAGCGGTGTAACATATTAACCAATTTTTTTTTGGGGATTATAGTAACCTTTGACCTATTCCGGTTAAATAGATCCAAACGTGGTTTTGCACATTATTTTTTGAGATTTCGACTCTTATCTAGACGTATGTGTATATACAAATATCAGAGATTTTAGCTTGAAGACTACAATTAGAAACGCAAGCCGAACTCTTCTACTTCAATGAAGTTATGTGTTCAAATTACGTTTTTTGTTAATGCGCCTACATGTAGGCAACTGTTTGCTCGTTTTTCTCATATTTTTCGATAAAACGTTATTTTAATAATATTTAAAAAGGAAATAATTTTTAAAAACTTATTTGTACACATATGAAATTTAACGTTTTTAGTAATTACCGTTATATTAAAAAATAACTTAAATTTAAAGTAATCGGTACCGCCTCCTACCATAACGCTTATAAACAGTCCACAATGACATTTAAGCCCCCTCTCACTTACATACACATACATATGTCTGTTTGTTCAAGTGGTAGCTTTGCTTTTGTATGCTTGTTAGTGTGTTAGTGTATCTACAGACTGAAGAAGTTAATAGCATTATTAATACTATTACTTTTTATTATTATTACTCACGGCTGTGCAGTGCTTTAAAATGCCACTAAAGGCACACAGATTATTTTGGCAAGTGTGTGGCATTCTTAAGTTATTGAGAGCGCATGTGCTCCTGTGTGTGTGGGTGTGTGAGAGTTTAAGTGCTGGCGACAACATCATTACCAGCAATCATCAACACGGCCGCAACGACCGGAAGCGACGATGACGGCAAAAGCATACAGACAACAAAAACAACACTATAAACTAACAACAATAGCGATGATACTCATTGTGATTTTCTTGTTACTGCCGTTTTTGTTGTTGTTGTTGTCGGTCTTACTGCTATTATGTGTGAAGCCATGCGGCTTCAGCTGTTGCCACTTCATCACCGCATTTGCAACAGATGCCACAGTTGCCACTTTGCCACGTAAAGGACTCGGCTGCTGACAATAAACGTTCAAAGATCATCAACAATACATATATGCATGTGGTACATATGTATGTATGTGTATGCAAACATGTATATGTACGTGTGCGCTCTGTGCGTTGGCATTCACAGTCACTGCAAATTTTATTCACTTTCCACCAGCTGACGTATATCACACAAGAAGGCTCGGGAAAATGCTGTAAAAATGGTGGTGGATAACAGGAGGCTGCTGGGCGGATGGAGTTGGCCGTTGGGAAATTCACTTGCATAAAGTTTGATTGCATTTACATGCGATGATTTAATGCATTTCGCCTATAGCAAATTATAAATCTGTCCATTGGAATTTCTTCGCTTCGGCAGCCAGTTACGCATTCATTATGGACCTGACAAATGCACTTACTATTTTTATATAGCACAATTTATGGTTGTTGTTATCGCTGATGTTGTTGCTTTTATTGCACTGCCATGCGTATGCATGGTTGTATGTCTATCGATAGTGGATGAAAGTGTCACTTGCCGTGCGATTTTCATTTAATACTCGTTGTTTTGTTGTTGCTGCTGTTGTTTTAAACGTATTGCTTTTCTGTTCGCTGCAATTTTCGAACGGAAGTTTTTGCAAACTGTTCGATTTTAATTTCCTGCCTTTCAAAAGCCTCCGTTTAAAGTGTCAAATCAATGCAAATGTAATGAGTTGAGGATGAAAGAGCTTTTCTGTTGATGTTGTAATTAGCGTTCGGTAATTAAACAAGTCCATGCAAACTAATTAGTTTAAGTAAAACAAAAAATTAATGTTAACTTTCACAGTTTTTTTTCAATTTAGTGATGTAAGTAAATTCGTTTTTTTAATGAAAGTGAGTAGTTATATACATAGGCAGATACAAGTTCAGAAAGGGTCGAAAGGGTCAGGTATAAGTATAGAACAAGTTCAAGAAAACGTTAAACATGTATACATATAAGGTATATAGGCTTAACTAGCGAGTATTAAGTAAATGTAAGTAAGTAAGTGATTCTAGTAATATTTAAATTCGACAAAGGCATGTTTGAATCAAAGTAATCTACTTTGGTAAAGCATAATATCGAGTCCGCTAGTACCCTCAGCTAAATAACTTAATTGCAGAAAGTGTATGCTTTCTTTCAAGTAGTTCCTTCCAAATAAATAATTATGAGCTTTTAGCTTTCGAAATTTTACTCAAGAAGACTCTGTTTTTCAGCGGAAGCGGGGACGATATTCAAAATCCGATATCCAAACTCTTAAGCATACCTAAACTTTTTATATGCGATTTAATTTATTTTAAAATACAACTCATTTAACTTGCGGTCGATGAACCTGAAATCTTCATATTCTTGTATCCGTGTATTTGGGTCTCGAATTAATTTATCGCAATTCTCGCAATGAAATCATAACGTCTTCTTTTCGACATCTCTCTGATCCTAAGCTAGCGCGCTGCGCTCTTGTAAAAAAATTTGCACGTAAACGCAAAAACAAAGTTTTGGAGTTGAATTGATATAAGAGAGTATGCGCATAGCTCAATAAAGTGGAATAGTTGCTCTCTCACTGCTCCATCATAGTGACAAGCGCAACTCAAGTACGCATGTGACAGAGGATATGATAACATATGGTTGTATCGCAAGTGCTGCCAGTTGGTTTTAATAACAACTTCGATACTTAAAGTTAAACGTCTACTATTCCCTATTATTATTAAGTTCAGTCTTGACCATCAATAAAACTGCCATTATTAGAAATGAGGTTACATAGGCATGAATGAAGCGAAATTAAATGTTAACTTTATTATCAACGTAATTTGAGGTGAAGACTTAATCCAGGTCTCTTCCCCCTGAATCGAATATAAATAACTTGCACACTCGCTCCAAAAATACTTATCTATTAATACAAAGCAGTTTGGCTTGATTCCTGACGCCTTATGACTCCGTACGCGATTGGTGGCAAAAAAAGTGATTTGTGGACCTCTAAACCAGGGGTACCATAGCTCACTTGGCTCCGTTTGGTTACTAAAAACATTACTATAACAAACCCAGTATTTTTTAAGACCAATACACCGTATTCACTTAGCTTTGTCAAGCATTGGGTAGTTGTTAGTTTAGTAGAATAATAGTTTCGAGTCGCAGTATATAGTACAGTAAATATTGAGATATCTTATGAAACTTGGTACACATGTTCCTTGGTACCGTAGGACGGTTGGTATTGCAGATGGGCGTAATCGGACCTTTGCCATGCCCACAAAACGCCATTAATCAAACACAAATAAATTGCCATAACTAAGCTCCACAATAAGAAGCAAGACTCATGTACATCTCTCTAACGCTATCCACTATCTATTATAGTTGAAAAAAATTATATAAGAAACATACATACATACCTACATATAAATAACAAAAATATTTACTTTTATAATAATATATAATATAATAATTTGTTTATTTATTAATATTAATCGTTCTATTATTTCACAATATCAGAGCATTTAAGAACTGATTGCTCTTAAAACTGAAAATTCTACAAAAATGAACACATGTTCCATGCATATCTATATTTAAACATATGGTAGTACAATATATAGTATGTATTATGCGCATTAAAAATCCATCCACGATTTATTGCTTTCCAAGCCAATTCCGCTTTGCTTAGCACTTTCTGCGCGTATCGTTCAATAATTCAGAAGGCGCTCCAATTCTTCTAAGTAGGTGCTTACTTATGTTGCTTTATTCACTCCATATTGTCAGCAACTACCCAATGAAATTGTTTTCATTTGCTTTGAATTTTTTTACATATTTTTTCTGATGAATGTGCTTTTTTTGTTGTTGCAGGCGAAAGGACAGCAGTGCATTGCAACGCTCAGCCAGCATTGATTCCTTCGCCGAGATTGTATTTAGCGACACGCCGCGACCATCACTCGACATCCCACGCCCCACCGTGGTGCCGTTCAGTAAGCGCCCCTCGGCCAGCAGCTTGTTCTCAAACTGCAGCACCACTTCGCAAACAACCCAATTGAATATCAATTACGGTGCCGGTGGCGATCTCTGCAGCAGCGGCAGCAGTGCTGGTAACAGTCGACGCGAAAGCCTCTTAAGTCCATCGTCAACACGCCGCAATAAGCTGACCAGAATTATAAACGGTAAGTGGAGCAAACATAGTGATGCTCATGTGCGCCGAAAGCCGGCAAATAATCACACACGCCAACACACATACATATACGCGTGTAGAGTATGCGCTAGTTGGCGCAATTATAGTGGCAATTGAGCGGCGACGTGACTGTTGGATTGGTGCCGCGCCATGTAACTTCACGCCACTCCATGTCGCAACGCGCCCAAACGGGAGCGATCTGGTATGAAGATGCGGCGAAGGAGCACAGAAGTGAAGCCGAAAACTGAAAGTAAGAAGAAAGCAGAAAGTTAAATGAAAGTGATTCGTAGCGAAGAGCGCGTCACCGTTCACAAGGCCGCTGGTTTGAGTTTGAGATTGAGGTTGGTTGGGTGGGGGCCAGTGTGAGCAGCTAGCTTTGTCGAACTGCGGCGTTGTTTTGGTTAATTTGCATAAATTGTGGGCACATTGCACTTGCCGCGTGCCGCCTACCGACCGGCACCTCTTTTTAGTCAGCAGCAACTCTGCTGATTGTTTAAAGTAGTTATGTTGATGCTTCGAATGTACAAATACTGCTAGTAGCAGTTTGTAGGCTTAATAAAAATGACCACACATATGGCATATCGGAATCGTCAGTTTACTGATCTGTTGTATTCCTACAGGTAACTATGATTCCAATAAAAATCGTCACAACGAAAATGATACATATTACCAGAAATAAAGTGAAATCTATAAAGCAGTATGAATCTAAAAAAATACGCAAGAATTGGTCAACGAAGAATACAGCTCTGTTGTTTTTACGCCAGACGATTCTACATAACCCGAACGGACCCGCATTATCATCCCACCAAGCATTTTGAACTCTGCCACATTCTTCAAAGGTATGTTTTCTACCACTACCACCACAACAAAGACCTTCCGATTAAAAGTGATTTCAAACAAGAAAAAATCCCAACTTCTGTTGCACCGAAGGCATAATACCATGCTCGAATAAAAAACTTTGCCACACAAGAACTCGATTTTGATGGTGTTATAGTCGTCCGATTTCGTGAAGATATCGTGTCAAATAAAAAAAAGTTCCATACAAGGAATGGACGGTCAGTTTGTATGGCTGCTGTATGTTGTAAAGTACCGATATTGGCGGTTTCGAAAAATGAGCAGCTTCTCGAGGAGAATAGAAAGCGTGCAATATTTCAGATTGATATCTCAAAAACTGAGAGACTAGTTCGAGTGTATACAAACAAGACATGGCCAAATCGTAAATTATTAACAAACTATTGAACATTCCTCAATATTGAAATAGTTTATTGACTTATTTCTTCCTGGGTATCTGATTTGAGCTATACAAATTTTTCTTGAATAAAGAAGTATTCTTCAAAACTGGAAAATATTTTTGAAGAATTCAAGTATAAAGTATTAATGACCTATCAATCGTCCCAAAAATTCAAACAAACTATTTTTGTTTCAGTGAGTCCCTATTCTCAAAACAACCAAATAAAAATTGAAATTGATCAATTTTTTCTCAAAATAATAAAAAACACAGGTAATGTTAAATATTTTCAAGGCATAAACACCGTTTCTTAGTGAAAGTCGGGCATTACACAAAGTTATATCTCTCTTAATAAAATCAAACCGAAAATTTTTTCGGGATAATATATATACTAAACTGCGAAAAGAAACTAAATCAGTCAATAAATACCGGATTTAGAAACAAATAACATTCAATTTGCTTAAAGATTATTAATAAAAAATTTTTTATTTAGCAGCTTTCCAACCTTATGCCGATAAATAAAATATTTGGTAATTATATCGATCGAAAGTGTTTTAAGAAAAGGTCAATAGACATTTTGTATCCACCTGGCTTGATTGCTTTGGACACACCTTTATAACTCAATATGATGAAAATATAGAAAAACATTTCAAATTCTGTATTTGCATACTTTTACAGTTATTAAATCACATTAATTCATTATTACGTCAAAAAGTTAAGAAATTTTCGAAAGTTTGTGCTTCAAGCTTACCACACCAAATTGCTCTTAATCGTATTTATTGCTCAGGTAGATGCAAAACAACTGCTACAAATATGTATTTGTTAAGAATTCTTTGTTGCTTTTTTACATCTACTCATTGAGTTGTACTTTGCCGTCTAACAAGTTGGTGTCATTTTTATTTCGATGACATCCTTGTTTTTGTAAATTAAGAGAGACGACGAAAAGAACTAACCACATGGTTATAAATACCTAAAAATGTTCCGAAAATTATCAAATTTCATTAGCATTCATGAACAAAGGTGTAAACTGTGTTAATGATTTTTTTAAAATATCAGCTAATATTTTATTTGTAAGAAATAACTTTCACTCGATCTGCATATTGCACCAGGTACATAACAAAAAGCAGGCATAGTAGCCTTATCCATAGCATACCTTGGACTTTCTTGTTCATAATGTATTGCAATTAATTCTTGCTATGTCTGTATGTCACAGTAGTGCTTAAAATACCTTTAAAACGTCGAACAATTGTATTTTGCGTCGATCCGAGTAGAACGATTTGCATTTAAGGCTGAGACATTCTAGAGCCCCCAAAGCTTTGACAATATATTCTGAGCGTAATAAAAAAGAAATAAAAATTTTCCCTTTCCGAGTTTTTTAACATGTCAATAACAAAGTTGGTAATGTTATTTTGGTAAGAAAAAAACAAGAAATCCCATTAGCTTCGGTTGCATCGAAGCTATAATACAATTCACAAATACAAATGGTTCCTTACAAAAACTCGATTCCGACCGCTAAGTTTGTATAGCAGGTATTTGCTATAGTGATTCAATCTGATTAATTCCTTCGGAGATTGCATCATTGCCTTAGGCAATAACCCACTACAAATTTCGTGAAAATATCTCTTTAAATGGGAATATTTTCCATGCAAGCTCTTGAGCATCTCCTTTGGGGAAAAAGGGCGCATGCAAAATTTCAGATCGATATCTCAAAAACTGCGGGACTTGTTCGCGTATATACAGACAGACGGACATGACTAAATCGATTAAGCTCATCATGCTGATCATATATGTATATATTTTATAGGGTCTCCGACGCTTCCTTCTGGGTGTTACATACTTCATGGTAAACTTAGTATACCCTGTTCAGGGTATAAAAATGGCATCTACTGTGCTTATCTACGGAATACCCATTTCAAGATGTGCTCTCCGGACGATGGTGATTCTAAAACTCGTGCTACTTAAATTAAAATAAAAAACGGGATCTTAATCCACAAAAAGTTTGCTAGTGTAGTACGTTTTATTTTTTTTTTGCTTTTCATCAATTTTTTCAAAATGGAAGATTTGGCGAAAAGTTCGACCCAAAAACTAAAAAATCGATGCTTTATTAACAAAAGCAAAACTTATTTTTGCACTGTTGATAATAGATTTAAGACGAACAATGAGTCGAGCTTATCGAGTACTTCGAAAACATTTTAATAAAACTTAGAAACCATTCTAATCTTTATTAGATTCTCGACAAGGTTGAAGCAGAAAGCCTCTGCATTTTAACGCTATTACCACATAGAGGATTATGAGGTGCTTGCAACATAGAACATCCTCATTCATTCCTTTGTGCCGCTTTTTCAAGATTTAGACTCAGTCGTGTGACTTATTTATTTCAGTTACAGCTGTTGGTGTCTCTAGTAAAATAGTTAGCAGTTGAGTCTTCAGTAAGCCTTTACCACTCTCTCTCCTCCTACTTCACTTGAAAGTCCTTCCAAAGTATATCCATAGCATAAATATAAAAATAAAACACCTAACCCTCCTTAACCCAACATACTCTCAGTATTATTTCGAGAACTTAATGATCCATATATCATTGCTTACAACTTTGCTCCAGACCCCCGCACACGAAAACTCGAACTTCTCACTGAGCTTATCATAAATCCTACACACATCACGCGGTGGGTGTGAAAAGAGAATGCGTTTGATAGGCCCGCACAACAGCCTCAATCTGTGGTTGATGCATCCAATTCATTTCAACTGCCAACGAGGTCTATGCAAGATAATACAAATGCCCACATTTGTTAATGCTACCTTTTGCGGTTGCGGGCAATCATTGTTGTCCATACATTTTTACAATCCGCCGCAGGTCTGAAATTACCAGTGAATGAACGTGAAATTGCTCTGCGCCATGAGCGAGTGCGAAAACTTTTATCTCAAATACGAGAAGTTTCTTTGTAGACTTTAGTTCAATGAAACGATTACTCAAACTATGTAGTTTCATACGAACAACAACAACAATAGTAATAACAATAACAGCAACATCAGCCGCAGTGCGAACAAGCATCAGCAGTCATGCCTTAAGCCGATACGGTGACGAAGCTCAATAGTAACGGTTTACTAGTATTATTTATTTGACGCGCGCAGCCTCCTCTCCTCCTCTCGAAACCCCTACCAAACAGATCTGTTGACATTTGTGACGACTAACTGCTGATTGGATTTGTTTGCGCTGTTCTTTACTCGTTATGTTTTACTTGCATTTCGCTCTCTTCTCCTCAGTCGCCCCGGACGCTGCTTGAACTCGTGCATTTGCACGCTTTTGGGATTCCAATATTGCCTTGATTGAAAATTTCTGCAACATTGGGCGAGAAGGACAAACTTTACAATACGCACACGTACGTTTGTATGTACGTACATGTGTGTGTGAACGATTGATTATAATGCAACAGCGTCAAGTTGATGTCGCGCCCAGTCGTCTGCGATTAATGCGAATTTTTATGCACACTTCTTCGGGGGCGCTTGATTTTTAAATCGCCCACAACAACAACAGAAAGTGAGAACTTTAATACGCGTTTTAAGTCATATTTCTGTATGTTATTTGTAAGTATACGAAAGTGTGTCGGCGGTGATGACACTCAACATACACATATATATTGTGATATTTATTATTGAAATTCTTGTCATGGAATTTTATTGCATTTTGCTTCTACTTTGATTGCAATTTAAATTTAAATGCATTTCTAGTGGAGAATTCTTGGAATTTGCCTACTTTCATGTAATTTATTTCTACTTTTTGTTGATAAGAGATTCCATCAGAACTTATGAGCATATAAATGAAAAATTTGAGCTATTTACTTAATGGAATATCAATACAAGAAAAAACGTTAACTTCGACTGAATATATAACTATAATAACCTTCGGAAATATATTTCATAAAGCATAAAATGGTATAAAAAGATCTTTATGTTAATTTTTATCGATCAGTTCGTATAGCAGCTATATGTTATAGTGTCACATATCGGCGGTTTCAACAAATGAGCAGCTTCTTGTGGGAGAACGATGTGGGCAAAATTTCAGATCATTATCAGAAAAATTGAGGAACTACATTGCCTATAGACAGACAGACAGACAAACGGACATGGCAATATCAACTCAGCCCGTCACGCAGATCATTTATATATTACGTTTCTAGGACGAACGAAGTTTCTCCTGGATGTTAAAAACTTCGAGGCAGGGTATAATACAGGGTATACAAAAAAGGTTGCAAAATCCCTAGTGGCCTTTGTCGTCTGTTGTTTTTCTGGTAAACGTTTAAATTAAAAAGTTGTTCTTAATATTGGTCATCACTTAGCGATAGATGTCTATATTCTTAGAGTATATCTCGCAAGAAGTCAACAAATGTTTAATCTTTAAAGTATATCCGCTATTAAGGGTCGCAGAACACTAAAATTATCGAATAACAATGCTTTATCAATAACATTTAAATCAACTACATACTATCTTTAGCAAATAAGTAGTCAGCTGATCTAATAACGAGATGCGTTATAATTTATTCCAAAATAAATCCACCACACTAGTTTAGCGCAGACAAGGTTTTCTCTTAAAGTATTAAAAAAATTGGACTGCGGGAAAATGTCACAATTCAGTTAGTTCTAGAGCGAAGACAAATTGCTTTACTTCTCACTGCACGGAATTTTCTTCGACTACTTGACATAAATGGTTATTAAACCATACCTGACAGAGCTGCTTCTCCAAAGCAAATGAAAACATATACAATTACTTTTCAGCCTCCTTGAAAGGATAATGGTCTTTTCATCGCAGAAATGCATCTTAAACACCTTAACTAACCAATTAATAATAATGTAAAGATGTTTTTTTTTTCTTCTTTCAATTGAGATAAATTTTTTTAATTCTCAGATAGTTAAATGAGAGCGATATCCTCAATTCACGCAAATTTTCTATATTTTTTTTAACAAGGCTTGGTATTTCTTTCGATGGCATTGCAATATTTCAAACCGTGATGCCAAGCTGCTGCAATGCTTATGATAAGAACGAGTCAGACGAGGGTTATTTATATCCACTTGCGGGTCAGAAAAAAAACATTTTTTTGTGTATTTTTTGTATCTACTCAATAA